CCGTCAGCTGATCCTGCACCCCAGCTCTGAGGGTAGGTTGCGGCGCCGACCGGGCCCCTTGAGGGTGTGGGAGACACGAATGAGAGGGAGCAAACTGAAGGTACACTAATCAGAGATGCTCGGTGGGATCTGTGCTAATGCAGGATTTCAAGTTCGTCGGGAAATGAAGGCAGCGCAGGGATGGTTTGAGCTAGTTTTGCACTGACGCGGACGCAATGATGACAGGGTATCTTGCTTACTTTTCCCGGTTTTACAGACATATTTGAAAATCTTCCCTAGCTTATTCCGCAGAAAAGTCCTAAACACTTTACTCTGTACAGGGTGTCTACTGAAGCAGGCTGGTCAAAAATAAGTACTTTTAAGTACAGTACACTCTCGAGAAAATCAGTACCTTCTTCAACAGAAAAATTCCGTACTTTTTCAGTACCTCCATTTGACTAAATTAGAAAAATTTCAATAATTTGAAATTGTGACAAAAATGACAAAAAATTAAAAGAAATTCCGGACCTTTTTGCAGAATTTCCGCAATTTTCGGTACTTCCGGACCGCCCTTAAAAAATCAGTACTATTTTCGGACTTTCCGGAAATTCCGGACTTGTAGACACCCTGGACAAAATTCCTTGCGTACTTTTCCCGGTTTTCCAGATATATTTGAAAATCTTCTATAGCTTTTTCCGCAGAAAAACCCTTAACAATTTACTCTGTATTGAATTCACTTATTAAAACGTTTGCCAAGATTGCACCGTAGAGACAGGGGTGGACTAGCCCCTAATATTCCTGGGGGTGGACCAGTGGACCCCGCTAGAAATATTTGGGGCCCCTCGTAATAAAAGAAGATAAAGGTTTAAATAAAAATATCAATTAATTGTTTGAGTCAATTTGGCAATCTTGGAATGGAGTTGCGTTCCTCCGTCCGGGAGACGACGAATTCTGTCAAAAATGGGAGGACCGACTCGCATGGAAAAACATGAATGTCGCGGCATTCATAGACGTCAGGAATTTGAGACAGGCGAAAAGCTAAGATTTTCCTTCATTTTCGCGTGATACCACATACCTACTCCGGAATTCGAATAGTTGCGCGCTATGATTTCTGCATTTGACGGGGGAGCATAATACCTACATTCATAAATGTCAGAATTTGAGACAGGCGAAAAGCTAAGATTTTCCTTCATTTTCGCGTGATACCACATACCTACTCCGGAGTTCGAATAGTTGCGTGCTTGGTGTTCGCTTTGACCAGTGTTGGTTCATAAAACATTTTTATGCAAATTACCATTAACATTAAAAAAAAAATAAAAAAAAATAATTCAATCAACGGTTTTGTAAAAATAAGGAAAATTATACGTTTTCCATGTCAATTTCGTTTCCAATGATTTATTATTCAGGCTGTATTGAGGAAACAAAAAATAAGGGTATTTCACCTCAATATCGCGGCAAATATAGGTACTTAAGTACTGCGGAGTTCGAATGTTTGCGCGCTTGCTTTAATGATACGATCATAATACCTGGGTACATTTATAAACGTCCTCTATTCATAAAAAATACGTTTGGAAAAATTACTGAGAAAAACCCAATAAGAGGAGCAAAAGTTGTGCGAAAGCAACGTGGTGGAGAAATGGTGCTGGGTGTCTACACAATTTAGTGGGGAAAAAAAAGTCAAGAATTTTCAAAAATTTTACAATTAGAGTCAAAAAATGTATTTAATTTCTGACTCTAATTGAAATGTTTTTGGAATTTCTTGGCTTTGTTGTCCCCACGAAGTGTTGTAGAACCAGCACCATTTCTCCACCTTGTTACATACAGTTCGGGCCATTTTTATTGTTTTTTTCTATATTTAGAAAAACCTGACAGCTAAAAAAAAAATAAAAATAAAAATAAAGTTGAAATAGTAGAAGGAGATGCCTCAGGTTGTGAAGATTGAGGAAGCAACTTTTAATTTTTAGAGACTCTCTGCTAAATTAAAATCGAATAAATTAATATTTTCAAAATATTATTTGGATAAATATTCTTTGATTTTGTTTCAAATTTTCTGGTCAATGGTTTTGGTCCACGGCAACCTTGTCTTTACTCCACATGACTTTGGGACTTCGTATTTCGATACACTTAATTCATTTTACTAACCATTCTTTCATTTTAGTTTTTTATCCAAAGGGTATTTGTTTAGGTTTGTATCTAATAAGGATTAGAGGAGATGCTGTTAGAGATCAGTTTGGCACTAAGTTGGGACTTGAGCATAACAAGGCTCCAATGGTTTCCGAGGATTTGAAAATGGGAAGATGAGGCTTCATCGTTTCTTTTCATCACCCTTCTCTGCAGAGAAAGTAAAATGCTAATAGATAAATTTGGAAAAAACTGAAATGAAATTTAAAATATTCTGCTTGACTTTATATTTAAATCATTCCTGCCCAGCAAGTCATAGCTAAAACGTTGTTACAACATTATGACCGATGAATCGATGGTAAGTAACATTGTGGCAACGCTTGCGCAATTTTTTTATACTTAAGTCCATTTTAGCTGCTACAAGGTGGGCTCTTTGCATCTATGGCATCATCATCATAGCATTAAATTTTAGTCATCAGATTTTGATGGTGGATGGAAGCTGAGGAGAGGAAAAATAATGAAATCTATTTTGTAAGTCTTCACTCTTGATCTCAATCTACTTATGGCAGCTATAATGCTATTTTTCAACAAAAGTTAGCATGGTCATAAATAAATAATATACTTGGTACATTTTCAAACTTCAAAATAAGTAAAGTCATCTTAAAGTCACACAACTGTGTGGACTGTTTTCGCTCTATGGTGCAAACCTACTTGGTGCCCATTGTATACTGTACTTAAACTCCGTTAGTGATAAAAACTCTTTTCGCCAAAATGACCATGGATGCACTGGGAGACGCTAGCATCAGACACATCTATACAAAATTTTCAAACTCATTGTGTGGATAACTAGTTACGTAGACATACAAATAAAGTTCGGTCTGGGGCTAGAAAGCATGATGCAGCAACATTTGGAGGAGCCATGAGATCACAGAGCCAGAGCGCAGAGAATGCTTGATCATTCGTCCACTCAAGAGCATAAAAATGTGGAAAGGCCCTTTAAATCGAGGGAGAGTGGGAAATATTTAGGGGTCAAAAGTTGAAAATTAAAGAAAACAAGAAGAAAAAGATCCTCATTTGTTAAATAGGTAGGTGGGACATTTTGGAAAGAGGTTGGCGTGTGACAATATGGAAGTTTCAGGTGCAAAGAACTTTACGTCCATTTTTAGAGTTATCATGCTAACCGCAGGCTGACATGAACTTGTCAGTCACCCACTTTTCTAACACCTATGCCAATTTTGATGTGAAGAGGTATGCACTAGAACTGAGGAAAGAAAATAATGGACAAATGTCATTTCAGAAAAAAGCACCATTCAACATGAATTTAAGTGATAAACAATGGGCCAACTGATAATTTATGCATTCAGATTGATATGAAATTTGTCCGTTCTTATCTTTCCCCGATTCTAAGTAGCGATCGATTTTATTAAATTTAGATATACCTAAATTCCACCATTCTTGGATATCAAAATTTATTATCAATGCTTCAGTGCAAGCTAGAGCTTACTCATCGTATGTCATGACAGATGTCGAAATCTAGTTACTGAGTCCCAGAAGAACAGGACTGAGAAACTCGATACATGCAATCAGATAAGGCCACTAGGTACGTTTATACAAGCACTTCGAGAGTAAATCTAAATTTGATCAAAAACGCCACATCGCATTTATCATCGAACTGATGATTGATGCGTATTCACTGTCAGAGTTTGGTACTCGTATAAACTTACCCATTGATGAGTGCTGATATATTTACTCAAGATTTGACTTATTTTATCTCAACTTCCAATAAGGAATCCCTAGCAGTGTTGATCAGGATAAGTGCAGGCATGATTGCCACTGCTATGCATTCATTATTATGAAAAATAAATGTGAATTCCCAAATTTGACACCTACGAATCAAAGTAACTAGTCAAAACGGCATCAACCTATACTTCTTCACACACTAGCGTTCTTCTAAAGGGAAGCAGTCTTAATTTACAAAATATTGAAACTGAGACCCTGAGGATGATGATACAAATCTTATCGATACAGAATGGTTTGCTTGATTTTTCCTATGAAAAGCTATGTGCAAAGTGACAGCAGCGAATCTCTATTAAGTTTACGAGCACTAAGATTGAAGGTAGCATTCATGCGCCTGAGATAAATCCTGTTAATTTTGCATTTTGAAGTTGTTCAAATTCATCACATTGACTAGTAATCAAGGCAGGAAGAGGTGAGAAGAAGCAAAGACAGGAAATAAGTACTTGCGATGAGGCAGGAGACATCGAGAAAAAAAGAGAACTTATACAGTATCAACGCGGAGCTATTTAGTTGGATTCGTGTGAAATCAATGTAAACAAACCCGATATGATTTGAGACTGTCAATATGACTGAATAAAACTTGAGAAGGGCCAGGAGAGAATAAAGTTTTAAAGATGACGTTTTAGCAATTCTTATAAACCTACATCAAGAACCTTCCTAAAAGTTAGACTTATAAGACTAAAAGTGGCACGAGATTGGAGGTGCAAAGTGATGATGTAGCATGGGCACCTGCAGGAGCAAGCTCTAACAGTAGAATAGGTTAGACTTTTCCATTCGTACACTACGTGCTATGTACTGAAATAAATTAAAGAGAACTTTAAGAGGGATATTACTACGACTCAGTGTCTCCACAATAGAAGTGAAGCGTCCGACCTACCGATGCTGATCACAGCGAGGAACGTAAGGCGGTAAGCAAAGAAATAGATTGTACACAGAAAGTGTAAGGAGTGCATTGCAACTTCAGATACTGATAGGATGTTCACTAACAGAAGAGCATATATTGCAGTTTGGGAAAGAAATAATTTATAGTGGAGAGATGATTATACTGAATCATGATCAAGGAGTGTTTAGGCTTACTGGTATTGGGAGAAAGGTTGACTTACTTTTCTCTGTTCCCCGGCAGAATTTCATCCATATTCACGAGATAATATCCAACTAGATCATGGGCACACAACACAAACACTGAACCGTTGTTAAAACCATCGGAAACTCGAAAATATCACGGCAAAAGAGGTTTCGAAAAGGTTTAACCACAAAGGAAAACACCAAGTTTCACCACGATGAACACTCGCGCGCGTAAAGCAACGAACGAAACGAATTTAAAACTTACATTATGAACGACGACGGAGTAGAAGAACGCAAGAAAAATTAGACCGACAGCTTTTGTTTATACTTAAAAAGGCACATAAAGATAAAATTAATAATTGACTACCCTACCACAACAACCAACAAGTGGCAGCCATTTTGATAACACTGACACCACAGGTTATTCAGTTGCCACAGCCCACTATTTACCACAAAACACGTAAAATATGTAATTACCCACGCTATCTATAGGCAGAAGACTGGAAACACGAACTAGCGGCGAGAGTGACTTGTTTACATCTCTCCGTTTCCTTTTCCTCTTGTTGACTCGCATTTCCGGTTGACCGCTAAATTCAATGGGATTTGTAGGTCTCAATAATTTTGAACGAATTATTATTCTGTAATATTTCTTTACAACTCTAGGTAATTAAAAACATTAAAAGGTGAGAATGAAGTCAGCATAAAATTTCGAAGTGTTCAAAGATACGTAGTTCTGTGTTGACCATTTTCTTTTCCTTTCCTCTCTACTTAGTTACATGAATAATAAAATTTTTAATTTTCTATGTGTGGATATCATCAATTCAGCTTTGCCAATTTCATTTCTAAAGACTTTTGAAACTTTATGTTCCTTACTTTGAAGTTTGAACTCGTACTAAAATGTTTAACCCACGACCCTCTGTCAAAAATACTACAATAACCTAAGCAATAAAGCATGTCCGAAATGATTTTCTACTAGAATATAAAATAAACACTAGGATGTTAGAAACGTAGAGCAGAGCTCTGTATCTTTGATTCATCGAGTCGCTGCTAAGCCGCAACAGCTGTAGGAGAGAGGGGGAGGGGGCGAGGGAGAGAGAAAGAGAGAAAAAAACAAAAACATAACGGAAATCCTCAATCCTCATTAATCGAAGTGATCATTGCTCTACAACAGCAAAAGGAGTGACAAATTTTTGTTGGCACTTGGGAATGATCATGCAAAATAGAACGGATAAAAAACGCCTGCGAAGTGAGGAAACGCAACACATTGTGCAGTCTCCACGGAAACTTCAACGCCAGGACACGAAAAAGTCTCAACATCCTTGGGTCCTGCCTGGCTTTTGGTTGAAGGTTTGAAGGAAAAATATGTATGCAATCTGCTCCGCTGGAAAATTGTGTCCTGATTCAAGAAATACCTTTCTGAATTTTCGGTTTAAGTCGTTTATTATGAGAGAAAAAGACAAAAAACCGAATCCGCACTAAGAAACATGAGGCTCCTTTCACCACCATATGATTAGATATTGCAGACAAGGCACCCATCTTTAAAGGTAAAAAAAAAGAATATGCAATTTCACTATCTGATACAGCTAATCGGAAAGGCAGGTTTTTATCCGTTCTATTAGGTATTGTCTTCAAAAAGAGGTTTTTTGACCCTCTTTGGTCATATTCTCTTAGGACAAGTACCCACATTTTGTGACTTCGGTTTCTCAAAAACTGACAGGTATAGCAGAAGTATCGTCAGAAGTCAACAAAAATGAATAAAATCAAGAGGAACTATTTAGCACATGAATTATATGCACATAGTTCCTTTTGATTTGATCCATTTTCACATAGTTCCTTTAAACATTAACTTGTCTGATTCTCTCTCTCTACCCTTCCTTTGTTTTTCTCTCTTCATATACAAGATATCCTTGTATAAATATGTTTACTTTCTTAAATAATGTGTTCACTGCTGTTTTACATGAAAGTTAAAAAATTCGGAAAACTTCACGTGGAACAATCTAAAAGCAAACGTCAACGTATCTGATACAGCTAATCGGAAAGGCAGGTTTTTATCTGTTTTATTAGGTATTGCCTTCAAAAAGAGGTTTTTTGACCCTCTTTGGTCATATTCTCTCAGGGCTAATACCCGCATTTTATGACTTCGGTTTCTCAATAACTGACACTGTTTACTTTCTTAAATAATGTGTTCGCTGCTGTTTTACTTGAAATTTAAAAAATTCGGAAAACTTCACGAGGAACAATCTAAAAGCAATAACGTCAACATAATTATTCCTCATTCTCCTTTCTTCTTAGCCCCCTCCTTCTCACTCAGCAACAATAATAGGATTTTTGTTTTACTTTTATAATTCACTATTCTTAAGATAATTTTCGGCCCATGCTTTTTTATGGCGGAAAAATGCCAATACTTTGCTTCAGAAACTACAACGACGGAAATCACGGTTTAAAAAAAGATATGTAGTCACTTCCAACGCTCTTTAAAAATAACGACAACGTAATAATTTATTATTTTATAACATTCAACAATGACCTAGTAAAAATATTAAACAAAACTTATGATGCAAATCACTTAATAAAATAGTCATGAATAACAAAAGTTTTGGTGTCTGTGATAAAGAAGTGACAAATGCAGCACTCCGTCATACAGCAGTCTCTTCGTCAGGTTTCTTCAGATATGTTGGTAGCCAATTTTTTAGAGAGTTTTTTCTTTTCCCGACGTCCATCTGAATAAAAAACAAAACCAAATTATGATCTGCCATACGATTCCCAGATTTTAATACAACTAAGCGCCGCACAGTGGATTGAGTCAGTAGGAGAGGTCGGACAAAATTTGGAAATTTTAAACGCTTACACTGAGAAAAAAAGTTCGGTAAATCCGAACTAGTTTGGTTCATATGGAACCAAGATTTTGTTCGGTACACACGACCGAATTATGTGGTCTGCTCAGCCGAACTTTTCGGTCCACTGAACCGAACTGTAGGAATTTATTATGGTTCGGTTGCACAAACCGAACAATTCGGTTGAACAGACCGAATAATTCGGTTGTGTGTACCGAACAAAGTCGTGGTTCCATATGATCCAAACTAGTTCGGATTTGCCGAACTTTTTTTCTCAGTGTTATAACTCCGTTTATGCAAAAATTTGAGGTTCTTTAAGTGGCTCCATTGGTTTTCACGTAAAATTTTCTTCGTAAAGCACCCCTAGAAATTTAAATTGTGACAAAATAAACATAAAAATATGCCGTTTTAGTAAAAAATTTCATGTCCGACCACTCTAATTGACTCGATCCACTGTGCGCCGTCTTGTGGCACAAAAATGATGAGTTAAACCACTCGCAATTATTTCTCTAGGGCATAAAAAAGGGGGCTGTGTCAATATTTCAAATTCTCATTTTTCGACTAAATTTGGCGATCTGAATTTTCAACTAAACGAGACAAAAATTACTTCACTAAGGGTGCTACCTCCATGAACTCCCTTTCCTCAATTATTGACAGTCGCATTTTTCGAACACCTTATAAAGTCTGAATCAAAAAGTGATGGTTAAAATGATTGCGTATGAAAGTACACATGGATGTAGCACGTAGTTCTTAACGGGCCAGGGTGTCCTATAGGCCATCTAGAATTTGAAATAGTATCATCTGGACCTTCTAGGATTTCTAGACAATAGAAAAGAACTCTGAAAAGTGTTAATTCCTTGCCTCAGCGTATCACCATACGAGAGAAAGAAGGAAAATTTGTGATTAATTTAAAAGGATCTTTGGCAAATTAGAGCTTTAAGCCTGTACATACTGCTTGACTGCGGGCTGATTCCTGATTATTGAAATTTATAGACAAAGTGATAGACAAAGAGGACAAAAGGGAATTCACCTACCAACGGCAACCCACGAGAGACCCTACATTTAGTCCATCATTTTACTCTTAGTCTGTAAGAACCACCCGTTTCAATCAAAAGGATTGCTCTATTCTCCCTATGTCTTCTTCGTCCATCGTTTTGTCTATCAATTCCAATAATCAGCCTGCAGGACGTCAGAGTAGCTCAAAACGAATCTTAAAAAGGTTATTCATCAGAGAAAAATTTAGGGGAATTCCAGGTTTCTCCCCCATTTTATAATGAGGAAACCCTTAGCCCTATGGGGGATTGGGGGCCAAATCGATCCCAAAAAAATGCTGTAACTATGCCTGTATGTGAATGAGCCAATTTTTCGTGGAAGAGAGCTTGAGAATCAACATTTGAAAACAGCGGGTAGATTGTTGAGTCATTATGGAATGATCCTGATCAGAGACAAGAGACCCTCCACTAGTATCTTGGCCATTGTGGAAGCTTTTACTTCCGGGACTTCAGCACTCCACTGTTGACTTACCAACATGGTTGATGTTCAACAACGTGTTGGCAGTTTCGTTTTGCAAACAAGCTGAAAATGGCCGACGTTACGGAAACTTGTTTGGCTCATGACGTCACCCGAAGCTCATCATCGACCATGTAGGTAGGTCAACAGCCGAAACTAGGGTGATGACTGTTGCTCCCTAGTAATTGTCCGTAAGGAATTGTTGAAACCGCGAAAGTAAAAGCTTCCACCTGTCGCTAGGAGGCTAGTGGAGGGTCTCTTGTCTCTGATCCTGATTGACAAATTCCTATCTCAGCGATGCAACTTATCGATCAAGGTCCAGTGCCGCGGTGTGCTTTGCGATCTATTGATATTTCCCCATTTGAAGCTGTGGTAAATAATCGATTATTAAGGTATTCGCTGCGGACACCCTGTTTATCGATACTTTTCCATAAGTTTGAATGACGGATCAATCGATATATCGCAAAGCACACCACGCCACGCCGAGTCATTCGATATCGACTCAACAATCAACCCGCAGGTGTGTTATCCGGAGTTTCTTATGAAATGTGGCTCATCACTTACACTAATGGGGTTTTACAATGGAGTGGGTGGGGGATAGGGGAGAATCTTCCCCACCTTGATCGTGAGTCCTTCCTCCTCGTCCTCTTCCGTCATGATTGATAGACGCCGCCTCTCTTCATCGGAAATTGCATCTTTCTTCGTTCCGCGTTTCTTCAATTTGGCGGGTATGCTAAAACCACGGGCAAAATACAATATAACCGTAGACAGCAAAATATAATCAGACATTTTTAACTATGTTACAGGAACAACTAAATACACCCATGAAAGTAGAGCTCATTAGTCATTTAAACAACAGCTATGCAGAGTGCCAGTGTGCGAATAGTATTACTATATCTGCGCCCTTCTCAGATTGGTTCACCACAATGCTTACCCACACTGGAAAAAAGACACATTGGATCTAGAGCCCGGACTCTTAAAAACATCGACAAGAAAAAATGCTCTTGATTCAATCGAATTTTTGCTTAAATCGAGAACCAAGCCTCTTAATTTGATCGGATTTCCTTTTGATTTAAGCAAAAATCTGATCGAATCAAGAGTATTTTTTCTTGTCAATGTTTCCAAGAGTCTGGACCTCTATGCAATGTCTTTGGTCTGGACTCTAGATTCAATTTGTTTTTTGGTTTTTTTCCAGTGCACATTGGTTGCTCTTACAATGCTTATGGTGAGTGCCCGGTGCCAAGTCCAATCATTTCTTCTAATCTGAAGTAAAATGGTACTTATGTGGTAAAAATACCTCAGTTTCGGATATAATGCTTCAGCAATGCTTAGAAACCGGTTTCGGTTCTGATAACAATGTTGCATTGTTCCCAGGATTGAATCCAACCGAGACCTTGACTCCATTGTCAGCATTCCCTGGTAAAAAATGGCAGTAGAATGTGTGTTCCAAAATACCATAGACCTAAAGCCGGCTGTAAGATTTCCAATAGCTTCTGTAGCCGGCTGTACAATTTCTTATAGCCTTTTGTAGCCGATGGCGATTAAGCAACAGCCAGACGATAAAGTTTAAAAGTTACTAAATACGGATACCAGGACTTACAATTAGTTAGTTTTTGGACTACCTCTCTTTTTGTGCCGTAGTGTCTTGATTTATTTTGCGAGGAAAGCTCCGTACTTTTGAAGGATGCCTGTCATTCTTAATATGTTGGAGCGCCTTCCATTTCTTATGATACTGTGCAATACCTCTGGTGTGAAATAGTTGCTTCAGACGCCGTGGTACGCTGCGGCGCGGCGGGCGGGCAGAGAGTGCGAAACGCGCATTGGCGCCTACAAACCTAACAGGGATACTTCACGCTTTGCGCAATGCGTGAAGTATCCTTGTTAGGTTTGTAGCAAGACCAATCCACACAGGTCAGTCATTCCCGTGGACGAGTTTTGGTACTCTACTGCGCAGTGACGTAGTATTGAGTGCTTGCAATGTATTTCTTATGGAAGCACCCATTGTGACGTAGTATTGAGTGCAGCCGAGTTAGGGCCGGGCGGGGAAGTGGCTCTCAAAAAGATGCGCAATGACTGACCTGTGTGGATTGGTCTTGGTTTGTAGGCGCCAGTGCGTCGCCGCTCCGCTTTGTGCTAGGCTCTAATATTTAATCTCGCGGAGTCAGCGTTTTTCAACTCATGATTTTGAAATTTTTGCACACTCTGTATGGACTATTCTCATTTTAATTGATGAAAAAAAAAAAAAGTTTTAAAGGAAAATATAATGTGTGTTTTGTAAATATTAAGGTAGTTCCGTATTAAACTTAATGATTTCCAAAGCACACGAATTTCTACACAATTTCTTATAGCCTTTTATAGCCAATGGCGATGAAGGGTAAAGCCCGGCGATAGGAACTATAGCCCGACTGTATACTTTTTTATAGCTTCGTATAGCCCGGCTATATGATTTGCTCCGCTTTCTACAGTCAGCTGTATGATTTTCAATAGTCTTCTTTAGTCGGCTATAAGAAATCCTATGGTATTTTGAAACGCAGCTCCTATCGCCAATTTTTACCAGGGTTGTAAAAGCAACAATTGTTTTTCTCAGTGCAGTTTTAGGTCTTTCGTTGAGGTTTGGGGGTCAAGTAAAGAAACTCAACCCAGAGAAAACTGTATTTTCTCAAGGGAAATGAGTGACACACTTAATATGATTGATTCTCGTGGTAAAAATATCCATCAAAATTTGTTCAAAACTCATTTTCAGATGATGGAAATTTTACTATTTTATTTGCCTTGGCGCGAGTGTGTTCTGCACGGAGGCTGAGCCCATGCACATCAATCTGAAAGCATCGCAGCTTTTCTGTACCAGAAGGTGCAGCATGGCAATACTCTTCTCAAAAAGACACTCAACAGCTATCTACAAAACGATAAAGAGAGCAAAATCCAGAATAGGTCTGCGGAGGCCAAAAGATCGATTCGTTTGGATTCGATAGATTTGGATTAAAATTTTCTGCTGAGATTATATATATACATCGATTAAACAGGAAATGAAAAACTTTAGTACACATCTTCATAGATATCAAGACCTTCCTTTCCGCGGGACTGTTACTTAACTCAAAGACGAATCAATAAATACTGGCGCTCTCTAAACAGATCTTTCCTTTTTTCAAGCTAGGTGTGATTGCATCTATGCGTGCAGTATAAAAAGCATGAGGAAACGGCTACAATCTTCCATCGAATCTACTTTAGGTACAGGCAGATGATAATCTGTAATTCATTCAGAGTTTTTACATCAGTTGAATCAAGTTGGCAATGCTGTTTTCTCCTTATTTAAATTCGATATGAACCATTCGAGCCTAGGTACGGCAGTCTGCTTCGACGGATATCGATTATTTTACATATATTTGAATTGGTGAAATACAGTGTTGCCAACTTGGGTGTGTCGTCACTGATTAATGTACACAACAATTAACATCAAGTGCTGTAATCTACCAGCGTGAAAATATCCTAATAGGAAACATCATTAGTGGCGGTGACCACTCTTTGGTTTATGAATAAATCTCTTCTAAAACTAAGAATTCAAGGATGAATGAGAGTAAATTTCACTCTATGATAAAAAAAAACTACTCTAAAAGTGTATTCTCCCTATAATATAGTGTAATATTACTAATTATATTGTACTCTACGTGGATTTGCCTATAAAGGATGTGGAATATGTGTTTTAAACTCTTAAAAAGTTTTAACTCTGACTCCTTCTGGTGGCCTTAGGTTTTCAGGTTAATTTTACTCTATCATGGTAGACCTTATAATAAAATTAGGTTTCTCAAATCTCAAGAAAATATTGAATTTTAAATTAAAATAAAATAGCCTCATTCAACCGAATAAGTCTATTGAGGAGAGAAACTGTTATATTATTGACTTTTTTTTTATTTTTCTCGTCTTAACTTTGGAAGATAACCAACCACCCCGGCTAAATTTGTTTTAATACCACTCAGTAAAACAGTTTTTTCAACCCTCCTATGCTGTTTTTTGGAGCTTATTTGATTACTGAATTCCTTTGTTTTTTATTGAACTGTGTGTTGAACATTGGTCAAGCCCAAAAAGCCGAACTTGTGATTCACTAACATAGCTTAAGAATACGAAAAAAGCAGAAAACACACGACTCACTTGATGATTCATTGAACTCACATGATCTTTCCTTTTGTTTTTTCCTCTGTGCTATCCCTATTTACTTGTTTCCATATTCCTGTTTTATTTACTTCCTCTGAAATATTGATGGATGCAAAAGGAATTTTCATTATATTCCCGTTGGCAAGCGGAATTTGTAAATTTCCGCTCGGTTCGAAACCCATTGGTTTCTCTTCCTGCAACAACATATAATCCATGAAGATAATCGTCATAAAAATTATACTTCTTGAAATAACAGAGCATAAACTGTAACAAGATGCCATAGACATTTCAACAGCGAGGAAAATGTACTGAATCGCTCACACATATTCATCATGTAAAGTTATAAGAATAAAAAATAATAGCTGGCACGATTAAAAACCTCGTCATTAGTTAGATCATTTAAAGAAACCCAGGTCCTAATGTTAGTCATAAAAAGTTGTCACCCCACTCAACCGACAATCCGGAAAATAAAAGGTGAAATACAGTGAATCAAAGTGCCTTCAAAAGTGCTCAACGCAACTTAACATACGTTCCTATAGTTGCAGCAGACACTTTTGAAGGCACTATACTAGCAGGTATCATGATTGTTTGGAGCATGAGTGGGGCTCTGAATATTTCCATCTGTCTGAATACGTGTGTGTTAGGGAATTTTTACGTGTTTCCTCTTACAATTACATGATTTTCCCCTGAAAAGTTAGGGAAAATATCCTAAAGACAGATGTTGCAAAATAATGTTTCTGTAAAAAGTCAAGGCGATCCTCGCAGTATTTCTTTTATATGTATTTTCTCTCTCTCAAAAACAAGAGTAGCTTATGCACAATAGGAAAACCAACTTACCTCATCCACCTCAAGTCGTTCTTCCTCCTCACTTCGTCTTATTGTGTCAGGCATTACGTCATCAAGAATTTTCAACTCTCTTTGGGTAAAAACCCAATCAAGAGACTTCCTTATTCCTATCATTACGACCAGCTGGGGACAAATTGAGTTCAAGAGTTAGTCACGCAGCGGAAAAGGAATAGGCGCACTTAACGAATATTCCAATTCATCGGCGGTCAAATTATCATATTCGCACAATATTAAAGGCTGGTCTCCATTGACAGAATTTTAAAAAATGTTTGCTTATGATCAAAAGAGGAATTTCAATTAACACCACAGCATAAATATAATATAGCCTACGAGGGAAAGGTCTATGATATATATGCATACCGCCATTTCATTAGAATTTTTTCTATTCTTTTTTTATAGGTGGTAAGTTATGCACATTCGGATTGGCAGTTATTGCATTTTGCAGTGAATTAAAGAGAAAATGTTCTTTTCGGCGAAGAGAAAAAAAATCCATTAATAATCACAATGAAAATTTCATTTTTAGCCGCACGTATATTTTTTTATTTAACATTGAAATTGCATTTTATTTCAATACGTACCATCAAAGGGAAGAATATAGATGTTTGACTAAAGGACTTAATCAGCCACAAAACAATTAAACAGCACAATTGAATTAAAGTGAAAAGATGGACACGTTTTATTGGCACCTGAAAAGAAATGAAAACAAATTAATTATCAACGACATATAATTTACAAACAATTCAGCAATAACGCAGGAGATCGTTCCAAAATGAAGACTCAAACGTGGTGAATTGAATAATCAGCAGTATACACTTAAGGAGGGAGATTTTTATCTTGTTATGTCTTAATTCACTCATTGTGATTACGTCATATAAGATAACTCTTTATTTCAAATCAAATGGATTACATTTTGCAACAAGGAACCACTATCTCTGCCTCTTTCATAAAACCACATATCTGCACAGGGAAATGAATGGCATGTATGCTGTTTTTAAAATGGGCCAGAAATAGTGGTTCCTTACGTGGTCTGTCCGGAAAGTATCAGGACTTTTTAGATTTTGAGAAATCGAGCTTACCTATGACATTGTGGCTTTAATCTCCTTCGAAGTACTCTCCGTAAGACACAATGCACTTGTTCCAGCGATTTTTGAGCTGTTCAGAACAGTCCAAAAAGCACTCCTTTGGGATGTCCTTCAGCGCTCTCGTCGTATTCTCTTTTGGGTCATTGATGGAGTCAAATCAAGTCCCTTTCATTGGAGATTTCATTTTTGAGAACAGCCAGAAGTCGCAAGGAGCTATGTCTGGACTGTATGGAGGATGTGGAACCAGAGAAATACCGAGCTTTGCCCAAAAACTGTTGCACAAGACAGGAGGAATGAGCCGGAGCGTTGGCACAAATTTCGCTGCCACTCTACGGAGCCCGAGTTTTTCAGTTAAAATTTCCGCAACGACGGTCTTCGGGATATTTAGCTGCTTTTCCAGTTCCCGCATGGTTAACCGACTGTCTTGGGCAATAGTTTCCCGAACTTTTTCCACATTATCGGGAGAATTCGTCGACGAAGGTCTCCCGGACCGCGGATCACTAGCGACTGTTTCACGACCCGATTTAAAGCGATCATATCACTCATAAATATTGCTCTTGCTCATAGAATCAGTGCCAAAAGCTTTCCGAATCATTTCCATGTTCTCCTTGGCAGTTTTTTCTAGATCAATGCAAAATTTAAAACAAATTCTCTGATCTTCACGCTCGGTCATTTCACGAAAAATAAAAAACGCGACGATAGCACTTGACACACACACTTTGATCAGTTGATTGCAATCGAATGATTAAAGATGTGGAAGCCCGATTGTGTGGCTGCATTGGAATGGACATTGGCAAAGTCCGACCCAAGTTTCAGCTCATTATATGCATTACATTCCGAGATAATCAAAAAGTCCTGATACTTTCCGGACAGACCACGTATTGCAAAATGTAATCCAAATTTCGTAAAACTTTCTCTTTTCGATTTTTCTAAAATTGTTGTTGATACTTCTTACACTACAGCTGCTTCGAGCAACCGCTCATCGTCAGGTGTTTAAAAAAATGTATAAAAACTAAAATTATGATGCGTTTTCGCGATCGCGAGTAGTTCGGTATCCGCGTTCGTGTTCGTGATGTGACTATGTGACGTGTTTGTGAACGCGGACGCGGATACTACCGAACAACTCGCGGTCGCGGAAAAGCATAATTTTAGTTTTTGTACATTTTTTTAAACACCTGACGATGAGCGGTTGCTCGAAACAGCTGTAGTGTAAGAAGTATCAACAACAATTTTAGAAAAATCGGTAAGAAAAAGTTTTACGAAATTTGATAAACACTGGGAAAAAAACACATTGGATCTAGTGTCCAGACTCTTGAAAACATTGACAAGAAAAAATACTCTTATTGATTCAATCGGATTTTTGCTTGAATCGAAACGAAATCCGCTTAAATTAAGAGGCTTGGTTCTTGATTTAAGCTAGATTCTGATTGACTCAAGAGTACTTTTTCTTGTCGATGTTTTTAAGAGTCTGAACTCTGGATCCAATAATTATTTAATAATAATAATTTAATAAAAAAAATAAGAAAAATACTCTTTGAACAAGTTCTCACTTACTTGTCGCAAGAACATATAATCGGGCTGATACTTGACAGGCATTAAAATAATTAGCATTCGATCGAAGAATTGAAGCCCTTTCAAAGATGCTACGCCCATGTAGAGAAAAACTCCGAACAGAACTGGCATAGGGATATGACGAAGCATCGGTGTTATCAAAACAGAAAAACCAATCATCAAAAATATCATAATGTGCGTCACTCTCTGCTCCCTGAAAAATAAAAGAGACAGCTCATAATTATTTGGTTTTCAATGTTTCATTGCACTTTGAGGTTAATCAACAGCACATGCTAAAAAGAGGTATATGTAAGGGATTAAGAGAGCCTCCCAAAATTTCCCCCCTTTTTCGGTATTCGATTCGACCATCGAACCAAGGTTTAAGTGGAAGCATATAATAACAGAAAACTCAGGAAAAAATTTCAAGATGAGTGTAGGAACCGTTTTCGAGTTACGGAGGGGCAAAGGGGTCAAACTCCGGCCTTCTTTTTCGCTGTTTTCTTGTTGAATTGATGAGTCTACGGGGTTGTTATCGTTGTTTACACATGTTATACACACCGGTTACTACGTATTTTTACATGCAAAATCGAGTTTTAATGTTGACGAATCGATACAGCGATCGGTTTTATCGATTTTTTAAGATTCTTTACGGAAAATCGACGATTTTTTGAGATTGAAATTGTTCATTTTTGATTCATGGATGACTATATGCACCTAATATGACTGTAGTACACCAACACCTACGTATTTGTTCTTGTAGAATCGATTTTTAACGTTAACGAGTCGATATATCAATCGCTTATATCGAATTTTTGCTGTTTTATAGGAAAATCAATGACATATTGGTATTGAAAATGGTTATTCTCCATCCGAGAACAAACAAATTTTGGGATGGAACACATTTCCGGTCGGGTCGATTTCCAGTTGAGTCAAGTTTTTGATTGGGGCACGTTTCCGGTAGAGTAGAAATTAAGATTTTCGATTTCCGATGAAGTGAAATTTCGGGTGGATAACGAATCCCGTTGATTGTGGTTTCCGATCGGTCAGATTTCCGATCGAATCAAATTTTAAGTAAAGATTTCTGATCAAGTTTTCAGTAAAGATTTCTTTACGCCTTCAAATCCAGCGATACTCTCCGCATTGCCAAGGTGTTAGTTTAGTTGCTTAACCGAACCTAACACAGATTATTGATGACATTTCACGAACTCGCGGGTATGCTAGCTAGCATCAAGTATCCGAGAAGAAGGGGCTAACGTATGTTTGAACTCAAAGCATAATAATCCCTACTTTCAATCTCGTTTTTTCACTTTAAAACGATTTAATTTGTTGATTAAACACGAATAGATTGTAATTTGCCGGCGATGGCCAATTACCTGCAACATATATACCTGAGAATGTTTGTGAAGAAATTACTGAGAAAAAAAAAATACGGAATGAACAATCACAATCACTACCAGTGCAAATGTTAATTGAACAATACTAAAGCACGTTATCGATCAAGGTAGTAAACTTAAGTAACGAATTATTACCAAATTGGAGAAACGTAACCAATAAATCACCAACCAATCGCAATAATGAAAGCATAAAAATGGCGGTCGTTAAGGGGACACTAGAGAGCCAATCACAGTCCGGATTTTCAACTTGTCCATACCTGTGTTAATCTACCTTGGTTATCGATGGTGAAGAGGCAGAAAAGCAATTCTCGGAAAACACGATTTTCCAGGAGAGCAAAAAAACTGTCTGAATTCCTCTTTAGAGGTTACCCTTCGGTAGAAGAGTAATAATTCTTGAGGATAGCAAGAATGAGATGTTTCTTAAAACTCCATCAGCGGTTTGAATACTTTCTCGAACAGTTATAAAATACGGCTGAAATGCCGAGATTTGCGTTTTTGGCACTAAGAATCGACACTTCATCAGGAAAAACGCATTTTTGCAATTGGTGTTTTAAACTTGTTGGTGGATTTGGATCATTTAAAGACTGAAAAAAAGGGTTTCACACTTCAAATTCCTTATCAGATAAGATTTAGTTGGTCATTGATGCTCCATCCATCCATGATTTACGCTTGCCTAATGGACCAGTGGACACAATACCTTTTCTTCAAATTCGATTATTCACAGTTAATCAAAGAGAGCTCATTTTATCCGGGCGAAACTTTTTAAATTCACAACCACTTTTGAGTAAGTTGCGATCTTGTAAACGGCGACTCTTTCAGTTTCGCTTCAGAATACGATGACCGAACCAAGGGACTTAAAATACACAATCTGATCCAGCCGCCTCCAGGCGCTCTCTTCTTTAAAATGAGACGGAGAGACCAAAAAATATCTTATTATTTTTTCAAATTATTATTCCTCGGCAATTTTCGAATGTGAGGCTCGCTTTAAAACCCAAAATTATGAACTTTTTGGTCAACATCGTTGTAAAAGGCCGCTCACAATGGATACACAAGAGCGCCTTCAAATGTATCCATAAATTTAATGCAAAATTCTGATACCACTATTCGTGCTTCACGGCAGTCATTTTGCATAGCCGGCCATTTGAAGGCGAATCATTGACTTCAAGATACAGGGTATGAATCTTAGAAGAGTCATCGAAAAGCCCAACACTCCGGGAGCCTCCCACCTGCAACATAAGGAGCCAAAACCGGGGGCCAGCCCCCTGAACCCTAAGGAGCCAACAGCGGGGATGAGCCCCCTGAACCCTAAGGAGCCAAAGCCAGGGGCGAGCCCCCTGAACCCTAAAGAGCCAATACTGGGGGAGAGCCCCCTGAACCCTAAGGAGCCAACACCGGGGATGAGCCCCCTGAACCCTAAGGAGCCGAAGCCGGAGGCCAGCCCCCTGAACCCAAAGGAGCCAACACCGGGGGCGAGCCCCCTGAACCCTAAGGAGCCAGAACCGGGGACCGCCCCCCTGAACCCTAAGAAGCCAAATACGGGGGCGAGCCCTCTGAACGCTAAGGAGCCGAAGCCCAGGGCCCGCCCCCTGGTCCCTAAGAATCCAAAGCCGTGGGGGCTGCCCCCTGGCAACAAAGGAGCCTAAGCCGCGGGCCAGCCCCCTGGCGACTTAGGAGCCTAACCCGGGGGCCCGCCCCCTGGCAACTAAGGAGCCGAAGCCGGGGCCAGCCCCCTGAACCCTAAGGAGCCGAAGCCGGGGCCAGCCCCCTGAACCCTAAGGAGCCGAAGCCGAGGGCCAGCCCCCTGAACCCTAAGGATCCGAAGCCGGGGGCCAGCCCCCTGAACCCTAAGGAGCCAAAGCCAGGGGCCAGCCCCCTGAACCCTAAGGAGCCGAAGCCGGTGGCCAGCCCCCTGAACCCAATGGAGCCGAAGTCGGGGGCTAGCCCCCTGAACCCTTAGGAGCCAAAGCCGGAGGCCTGCCCCCTGAACCCTAAGGGGCCAAAGCCGGGGGCCAGTCCCCGGGCATCTAAGGAACCAAAGCCAGGGGCCAGCCCCCGGGCAACTAAGGAGCCTAAGCCGGGGGCCAACCCCCTAGCAAGTAGGGAGCCGAACCCGGGGGCGAGCCCCCTGGTCCCTAAGAAGCCAAAGCCGCGGGGGCTGCTCCCTGGCAACTAAGGAGCCTAAGCCGCAGGACAGCCCCATGGCAACTAAGGAGCCTAACTTGGGGGCCCGCTCCCTGGCAACTAAGGAGCGTAAGCCGGGGACCCGCCCCCTGGCAACTAAGGAGCTCAAGCCGGGGGCCAGCCCCCTGGCAAGGAAGGAGCGTAAGCTGGGGGCAAGCCCCCTGGCAACTAAGGAACCTAAGCCAGGGGCTAGCCCCCGGGCAATTAAGGAGCCTAAGGCGGGGGCCAGCCCCCTGGCAACTAAGGAGCCTAACCCGGGGGCCAGCCCCCTGGTCCGTAAGAAGCCAAAGCCGGGGGCTGCCCCCTTGGCAACTAAGGAGCCTAATCCGGGTCCAACCCCCTGGCAACTAAGGAGCCTAACCTGGGGGCCAGCCCCCGGGCCCCTAAGAAGCCAAAGGCGGGGGCCGCCCCCCTGGCCCCTAAGGAGTCAAACCCGGGGGGGGCCCCTTGGCCCCTAAGGAGCCAAACCCGGGGGCCGCCCACCTGGCCCCTAAGGAGCCAAAGCATGTTGTTTTTTCTCGAATGGAGAATAACCATTTTCAATACCGATATATGATCGATTTTCCTATAAAATTGCAAAAATCCGATATATGCGATGGATATATCGACTCCCTAACGTGAAAAATCGATTCCACAAGAACCAATACGTTCGTGTTGGTGTGCAACAGTCATATTAGGTGCAATTAGGCATCCATGAATCAAAAATGAATAATTTCAATCTCAAAAAATCGTCGATTTTCCGTAAAGAATCTCAAAAAATCGATAAAACCTATTGCGAATTCGACTCATCAACATGAAGACTCGATTTTGCGTGGAAATATAAGTAGGAACCGGTGTGTATAACATGTGTAAACGACGATAACAGCTCCTTAGACACATCAATTCAACGAGAAAATAGCGAAAAATAAGGCCGGAGTTTGACCCCTTTCCTCCCCCCGTAACTTCAAAACGGTTCCTATGCTCACCTTGAAATTTTTTATTGAGTTTTCTGTTATTATAAGCTGCCACTTAAACCTTGGTTCGATGATCGAATCGACTACCGAAAAAGGGGCGAAAGTGAGCCCTTATTTTAGGTGGCTCTTTAATCAAGAGATGTTACTCTTTCATTGAATGAAGGAAAAATATTCAAGATTTTTACATTTGTTTCCAGCTGGACGACAATGATGTTCTCGACTTATTATTTTTTTTTGTTCATCATGAAAGTAAAGGAGATTAAAGTATTTTCATACGAATAATATTGACTACGTCACAAATTTAGCTACCCAATATTCCGTCGAAAATATCGTTCACATGGACTCCGATAAAAAATTAGTCAGAAGTGGAAAGGTAAACAGTAAACTATCAATTTGACGTGATTAATCAGCGTTAAAAAAGCTTTGTTAAAAGTGGTTAAATAAAACGTAAAACAGAACTAATAAGTGTATATCGACGGTGAAACTACCAAACCACGTATCTCGTTTGCGGTGTTTAAAAATCTACGCTCACATTTTATTTTTTTGAAGTAGACCAAATAAATATCATTCCTTGAAATTTTCACGGAATTTTCTCCGCACAAAGAGGAAAAATCACAGAAATTTTCAAGACTGGATGTTAAGTAGTTTTTCATTTAAAAAATAAAGTATGACAGGAAGTCTGCGACGTCGCAAACCAAGATACGTGGTTTGGTACTTTCACCGTCGATATGTAGAATCTGAGTGATACGTAGTTTCTTTCGATTTCATTCATTTGCGCATGGTTCGTTTCGGGGAATGATTTGTCCAATTGTACGTCAGCACGTCTAAGTATTACATAGTGTGACTTCAATTGGCACAGATTTCCAGCTCAGTTTTCCCCAAATAATTTACAAGCCCTTTTCCTGTTGCTGCAACATTGCGACAGTCGCGGCTGAAATGAGTTGCACTCATTGCAAATCACGTTTCTTGCCTATCAAAGTTTCAGGCAAAGCACGAATGGACTACATTTTGCAATTTGGAACTATAAATTCTAGCTCGGTTTAATGACAACGTATGTGCCATTAGTTCCCCTATGCACGTGAGTGTTTTTTCAGATGAGCCAGAATTTATAGCTCCAAATTGCAAAATGCAGTCCAAATATGCAACTAATGATCTAAAAACCTCCGATATGCTTCAGTCTGAGCAAATTTTCAAATAAGAGGGTCTCCATGCGTCAAGCAACTTGCATTTGTCCGTATGCTTATTTTTCTGCCTCGCGTTAAAGTCTCTCAGGTGATTCCTGCATTTTGCCGTCTTTGCGATCTCTCGTGTGTTTTAGCATGATTTTTTTTTTAGGGAACTGAGCAAATCACGTGAGAACACGCAAAAAGTTATGTCCGTGAACAAATGAGAAAGTGACCATTTACCTGACCCCAAGAAACTGAGGTTTTTCACCGGGAGCAGCACATTCAGATTCTAATTTTAAAGAATTGACATGATTAATTGAGAGAACAGTTGCAGCGACAAACCATGGTAGACCCATTATTGAACAAATTGCAATCAGTATCGCCAACACAAATAAATCCAAATGATATCCACAGCCTTTCTGCAAATTGTCAAAAAAAAAAATGCAGGTAAATTAATAAGCTGATCTGCTTCGAAGAACTATTTTTAGGAAAGAGATAATTTTCGATAACGGTAGGAGCCATTTCATAAAATTATAGTCTGATAGGATTTAAATAAGGTTGAGTGTTTGTGCTTTAGTTATGAATATTGATAATTGATAAAATTCTATCAAAACTGGTTTAATTTGTTACTCATATCAATTATTAAAATAATTTCTCAGCACAAATTAGACGAATCTGAACCGAAAAAATTGGATCATGTGTACATCGTGTTAGGTGTGCAGGTCGGTCATCACAGGTGACTTATTTGAAGTGATTGGTTTTGGATTGGGTTTAGCACCGAGTTCAGCAGAGAGTAAACAACTCTTCTGACTAATTTTAGGAACAACACATCTGTTACCAGTTTCCCCACATAGCACGGTGTTTTTTTAAAAACTTGCCCGAGTGGTACTTGATTCTCTCCGATGAAACTTGGTCTATCCTAGTTATATTGATTGTTAAGAAATCTATGACAGACACTGTCTTACCCTAGCATGAGAGTAATGCGTAACGCACAACACCTGAGGCACGAAGCACTTCGGATGGTCGATTCGGGAATCGATCAAGATGCGGACCCCCCAGTGTGTTAAAAAATGATTAAGGTTCAAGGCGAATAACTATGGACTAATAGGTAATGAGCAGGAAGCCACACTAAAAAAAAAATCACACTTTTACGAGTTTTTCTAGATTTATTTCTTCACTTAAAATCACACTTTTACGAGTTTTTCTAGATTTATTTAAAAAAAAAAATCTCTAAAGTTTTCGGACCACGCATCTAAAAACTTGAGGTCCAGCTGCCGAAGTTCGGGTTAGACATCTGAAGTACTTAGGTACATACCGAAGGATTCGGGTCACACATCTGAAGTACTCGGCACTTACCGAAGTACTTCAGGTGTCTGACACGAACTCTGGCAGTTGGACCTCAAGTTCTTGAATGCTTGATCCGAAAACTTCAGAGATCTATATAACCTCAACTTCGGGTCCCATGCACAAGTTTTTTTCGCCGTGTACATTTTTCTTGTTTGTGAATAAGCACGATTGCTGCATTTTACTTTCCGTTCCTTCCTAACGGTTTACTAAGTATTTCATACTAACTGAGTCTTCTTGACCGGCAAAATATGCTCACAATTTTTCACGTGAGGTCTCTGAATTTGTAAACTTTCATGAGGTTTTTTTTCGGTGCAAATAAATGGCAAACGATAAAGCACAAAAAACGTAGCCCGAATGTACGAATAAAGAGGAGATGTAATTAAAATATGGGTAAACAAGGCTAAAAATTATTAATACACTAAAAGGCAGGACTGTCGGCCTCCTATGGTGTAGTGGTTGTAGCGCTTGCTCTATAATCGGGAGGTCCCGGGTTCGATTCCCGGCCAGGCGACCCGAGTTTGATGGTCTCAAACAATGGTTGCCTGGGGCTGGTTCAGTAGGGACGGAGGGGGGATGGGACTTAAAGCGTGGGATTAGCCCTGGTGGGCTATTTGAAGTAGTAAAAAAAAAAAAAAAA